GATGGATTTTCAGCAACCTTATGAGTAGTACATTACAAATATACGTGTATCGCGTTATTTTAAATATCGTAGCGACTGAAACATGAGGCGGCCTGGTGCAGCACATTCAGTTGCCTGAGAACATCATAAACGAGAGATTCAGCTGGGTCCCAGGTGAGTCTCTCGAAAGAACCAAATTGGTTTGCAGATGAGTGTATATTCGCTAATTTCGTGCAATTTTAGTTTCAAGTAGAACATAAGGTTGACGGAAACCTGGGAACTGCGCCTACCTGATGAGCCCGAAGAAGGGCGAAACCGGTCGTGGGCTGTCGATGGATTTTCAGCAACCTTATGTATGTACTTCACTTTGGCAAGCGGCCGGGTGGTGAGCAATCACTTCGTCTTGGAACGCTGCGTATATTCTTGTGGAAAATTGTTAGTCATATGTGGATGCTGGGTGTGTACTATGGAAAGACCTGGGGTATCCTTAAATGCGATGCAAATTTCAACTGTTTGATTGCCTCCACACAGTTCAGAAACCATGGGCCATCGGCACAGCGTTCATGTGATTTTAGAACTCCCGTTCCTCCCTTGGTCTTATATTCTCAGCCGCACACTGGCAACGGACGTTCAGACGACTGCGCACGCTGCTGGGAGCAAATCGCATCTGTCATTGCCTATAATGTGCAGAGATATGTTAGCGTAATTTGTTGTAAGATGAAAATCCGTACACTCTACCAGCCTATTGTAAAATCGCAAATAGGACGTTATCCTATGAGTATTTTAGTGCTGGATTTTTTTAAATAGGCTAACTCATGAAAAAATGTGAAATACAGAACGAAATAATTATACGCTGGCAGCATATATATTCTCACAAACGCAGCACTACTCAAGGCACAACCACCAACCCATGGCTACGCACCGTAACAGCGCGTTGATGACGTCACCTCGACTGGTTATGAAACGCTTAATTCACTAGTGATTCAGAAGCCTTGATGAAGTCTACAAATAGTGCACATCCAAACTTGATATGTCCGTCGAACTTTCCTGCAAACTTTTGCGGAGGGAGCACCAGATCCGCGCACTTACACGCGTGTTGTAAGCTCGATGGTAACGAAGCTAGGTGCAAAAACTCGGTGGATGCATGCTTATTTTACGTACTCTGATCTCGGGATGAACTTTTTCAGGGTTCAACTGGGATAAAACGTAACAGTGTTGGGCAGAGTGGGGTAGCCTAGGACTAAACTGTACGGTAAAGGCAGTAAGCCAACATGCAAAGACACTTCCGGTGGATTGGGCGGATGATATTGTCCACTCATGTAGGCTTACAAAAGGAATTTCTACGTCTGTGCTGTTTCGTGAGTTGCACTGTGTAGAGGTCAGCACTGCCACCTTGAAAAGTAACCGGACATTACTGGAGCCATTATATATATTCTCTCCGATACTCCATATGAATGACATCCTCTCAAAGGGAGCGCCCGCAGTGACGTGGGCAGACTTTGACGTTGCGATGAGACAGAGTAAAACCAGTTGTGCAACTTTCAGCCAGGGAAGCTTTCTAAGGGTATCACGCCTTTGTTTCTCACCATTAATCTCAAGAGTTTGATACACCAGCCTGCTTGACATTGCTTCTGCATCCAATCGGGAATATCAGTATGTAGGTCCTCATGCAAGCAGGATGTTTATGTAAAACCCTCTTTGAACGCATACATATTCTAAAACAGATTTATTTCGTTGCGTTTTGAGAAATACGGAAAAAAAACGTTCAGCTGTAACACCCTTCCGGTGCCTAGCTGCCATGCTACCCGAAGGAAGCACGAGGACTGGGATACTGCCAGGTTTCCCAAGCCTAGACAGGGGAAGTCGAGTGGCGGAGGTCGGATTCGAACCACGGACCTTCCGGTCAGTAAATTCGGGCTCTAACCACTTGGGCCATCTCGCCCAGCGCGTTGGTTAAGTAGCCTTGACCGAAATTGGCCCAGTTTTTCGGCACCATATGTTCAATATCTGGAATCACGAAACTGTAAGATTGGATGTATTATTACTCCCTCATTTTAACCACCCTGGTAGCCTATGCCTAAGACAATCTAAAAAAATATTCTGGTCGTAAGAAGCCTTGGCAAAGATTATCCACAGTAACTTAAATGTTGAAAGTAACATCCAATTTCATCTATAATATGAAAAGAGCTCAGTTGTTAAGGCGGGAATTTGCTGACTGGAAGGTCCGTTGTTCGAACCCAACCCCGGAATCTCGAACGCTCCTGTCTAGCCTCAGGCGATTTGGAAATATCTCAACCTTCGTACTTCCTTCGGGTGGCATGGCAGCTAAGTGCCTAAAGAGTGATACAGAGGAACGATTGATATTATTATCACTATGAAAATATTTTGTAAGTTAAATGGGGTCTTCATCCTGTAACTGAAACCACTCCGTACCGAAAAACTGAGGAGCACCGTATGATTCTTTCATATTACTTAGAAACGCTCAGTCATGTGCTCTTGAACCAGTCAGAAATTGACCACGTGATGCGAACGCTTTGACTAGAAGACGGGTGACGCTACATATTGTCTAGTTGCCAGTTAAGCACGACGTTGATCGATCGTTCATGGCCAAAAGGTTGTAACCTGGTAGCCTGCGAACTCGAATCGCCCTAGAGTTTCTTGCGATGGGCTTTATCCATGCCCTCCAATGAGAATGAAACAGTTGTTCAGAGCTTCGCGACATGAATTAACTTCACTTACAAGACTAAACCCTCATTATATCCTCCACTGAAACCCCCATCTTATCACTGTGTTTACTTCACGAACAGGCCTGACGTTAAAGCACTGCGTTTGCCCTAAAAATAAGCTCTAGTATGGATCGCTATGTTGTATCGCTGAGAGCAGCGTCACTTCTGGCTAATCAACTCGGCACCGTTTTTCGCTGCTAGTTACTGCTTCGGGAAACTAGGTGTTATCCACAACAACAGATTGGACTGCAGAGGACAATCGAAACCCCGATCAGAACCATAACATTGTTTTGAGTATCGGTAAGCTTTCCACCACTTCACTTCATCGCTTTTTTTAACCAGGTTGTCCACGTGGAGCGCTTTAGCTGTGGCCAAGCGCTGTCCACTGTGAAAGTTTCGTTCATTTCAACGCATGCTGATGGTCTCAATTTTCAAAACCGTCTAACTTTAGCAAATCTCAAAATCATTCGCATCGTGTTTTTCTGTACTGGTACTTCAGCTAGCTTGGTTGTGTGATCAGAACGGAGGACGAAGTATCCCGATTATTCACAATTACGGTCACGGATCGATGGGAATCTCGCTCAGCTGGGGGACTGCATTAGATGTCGTTTATCTGGTTACACAAGCCTTAAAGGCTAGCACGGGTTCCTGCACACAAGGACTACTGGCACCAGGCCTTGAAAAACTAAAACTTCAATAATCAAGCTGTACTTCGCGGTGTTTCAATTCACATTTCTTTGTTTGTGATTGCTAGTCTAGTCAACGATAAAGGTACATCTAGGGAGTAGCTTTTTATCTTCAATGCTCACTTTTCATTTTATACTTGTAATCATGCAAAAACTACTGTTTTTTACGAATTGCTGTTTTTTTGTGATTTCACATTTCTAAAGGATAATGTGCAATAGTACAAAAGCGAGTTCTGTGACTCTAGATTTCGGGTGACGGTCTCACCAATGATACTGGTGGGAAGTAGACATAAAAGTGCGTTTCGCTAATTTCGAGCACCAATTACAACCTGGTTGCGAAAGCCTTTCATAAAAGTATCCTTCACAGTGCTTCTGCTGTAATTTGTTGGGGTGTAGACAGAGATAACAAACAGATTTTGGGTTTGAGAGTCGTTAGTGGCTGATTCCGACGGACCGTTAGTCTGACTGATATTTATATGAGTTCAGTCAAACATTGTCTTCAGTTCTGGCGCTCAGCGCAACACCTATACCATTTGGACCACTGGAAGCTACTTCTAGACCACCTCACGCTCGGATAGTAATTCTTGATTAAATTGGACTGCTTCAGATCATGTCCTGATGCATTGTGGTGGGGTCTTGTGAGCTCGTACACGTCAATTTTCGAAGAGATAGGGATGCGAAAACGGGAGGTCTATTGGCCCATCTGACAAACCGTACGGGTATTAAACACTGCTACGTTGGGTCGATTTCTTGTTTTTAATAGCGTGTATTTGTCTTATTTATCTGGGTAAGGACCAGCAATTGATGTTAAATTGATAGATTGAGATGACCCAAGTGGTTAGAGCGCGAGTTTGCCGACCGGAAGGTACGTGGTTCGAACCCGACCTCTGCTTCTCGACCTCCCCCGTCTAGGATTGGGCAACCTGGCAGTATCCCAGCCCTCGCGCAACCTTCAGATGGCATGGCACTTAGGCACCAAAAGGGTGCTACAGCCGAAGGATAGAGCTACAAACAGACGGGGTCGTATTGGTGTTAGTAGTAGTTAAAACAGGAGCTGACAAATCAGAGACTAGCCATTGCTTTTACAGAGCATTGGCAAATGGTACCTCCTCAGGACTAGGAAACAGATTTGTTCGACGTACCCCTACTTGCTGTGCAATTTGTTTTCCGATTACGTGGAGAATTCGTTGACGCCATCCCGCATCGGAAAAGCTTCTCAGATGTTCGCAGTCAAGGGACATGGACACACCGCAGAACCGTCAGTAGAAGCCAAGTTTCGCTTCCATACAACAACACAACCAGTAATGTGGCCAGACACATGTGAATTTCGAGAGCTGTTGGTATGCTCATTTGATGCCAAAAGTGACGCGTATCGGCTAACTTGATTCAAGCCCTCAGGCTTCTTGCGCATGCACTTTCCTCGGAGCCGATTCATTAAAGGTGTGTGTAAAACTGCACAACTTCCAGTGCCTATCTTTGAATTGCAAGGAGCATACGCAGAGACCACATGCTCCGAAGTGGGACTGAGTTTTGTATCCGCCAGGATAGTGTGATATTGGTAGGTTTAAGTGATAGTACTTAGGCTTTTTATTCGCCTCCCAAGGTTGAAACCATATCGTCCGCATTCTCTCGATCGTCAGAACTCTTAGCAAGAGCGTTGTGAGAACCCTCCAGCTTTCGCCTCTTTAGTCCAGCGGTGGCGCAGTTGAACAAACATGGATAGAGTGAAAGTCGTTTCTGAGTACTATTTATAGTAAAGCTCTTGGAGCGTTTCTAATGAAGCGTTTTTACAACCCAAGAACTACATTCTTATGCGGTACTCGTGGTCCATCCCATGTTGAACAAATGTGACTTTCAAGAGAGAATATACACGTATTTCTGAGGTTAGAAAGGGATCCAAAATGCAGTCCACATTTCCATTGCAGTTCTGAAGCCTCTATTGGAAGTAGTAGAGTTTCAGCTGAGTCGCACAAAATATTCCGCTAAATGGTCTTTGCTGGGTATTAGAAAGCCATTGTGGTCCTGGGCGGTTTCACTAGAGGCCTCCCAGGACCTGTTGCACGAGTCAGTTGAAACCAACTGCGGACGTTTATAGCATTTTTGTTTGGGACTTACCAGGCTTTTACCTATAGTAGGATAATACTGGTTGGACTGTGACAGGGATAGGTGGGAATGTATTTCCATACCTCCAGCAGAATCAGTCTTATCAGAAACTCACTACCGAAAAGCTTTCTGTTAAGTTGTGCTGCAGGAATAAGGTTTGGTATCGTGTACATATTTGGATATCACAATCGAGCAATATTGTATCCTAAATCTGATTAATGGGTGGGCTTCGGACAAGGCGACCTGGGTAAGTTAGTTTATTTCGGGGTCCTTGAGCTTCCCATTCTTCAGTTAGGTTGCGCACATATCTAGAAATTGCAATGAAAATGGAAATATATAAGTGCATGGTCGGAGTCCACTAGGCATTTTAGAAGAGGCTGCAGGAAGCCATCGACCTTCGTTATCCATGACCGATACCAGTGTTGTCAGTTTGCAACTTGGCTGTTTCGTCGGTAAGCACCATGCGGTCGTACCGCTCCCGCTATTACCGAAATTTGCACTGCAAAGAAACGGTCTGCGATTGGCATACGTTTCGGATGAGCGCTCTTCGTGTGTAGGTTTTTCGTCCAGTTTAAGACTACCGCCCATTTGGACCTTGGTAGCGCTGAAACTGCATGCACGTCCGTTTCACTGGTGACCACTGCTGTGTCTGAATTTTAGCCCACCATATGGGGATAACTAGAACGTCATCGAAACCATTGGAGAGTACGCAGATACAATAAACAGGAGAGATAGATTTCTCCGGAGATTTTTTCACAAACGTTGACCAATGTAGATTTTCTGAAACCGAACACGATAATCACTTGATTTGGTTTCAAGTGTTGTTTCCTGGTTCTCTATAGGCTTCAGTTTCTTCAAACCGATGTAGGCAAGTGTTCAAGTGCCACTTGATTTTTGGAGTTGTTGCATTCTCATCGAGTCAAGTTATTTCACCAGGAAACCGAACAACAGTGTGAACAGTCACTTCCAAACCCATGTACTTGGTTCTGTTGTCGTTTGTCTATGGCGCCCTATCTGATATTCGGTCGAGCTAGAATAAAAGTTCCAGGGAGATTCGAGCGTTCGTTAACTATTCTTATTTGTACACTGGAAGAGCCAGCTGAATCTCGTTCATTGCGAATTATCGAGCCTGCTCAGCCGACAGTATAAGCATACTTAGTGGTAGTTTAGCTTCTTTGAATGTAAAGCACATTATGTGATTGGTTCACTTGGAGCAGAAATATGTCCGTTGTAAATTACGGTTTCTTCAAAGTTGTTGGAATGTAAACCAAAACGGAATACTACTTCCAAAGACTTCCAAGACATAGGCGATTCATAGTGAGGTGAGCAAGAAAATCCCAACTAAAAGTTTATTCAAAATGCCCCCTTCAATGGTAATGATCCACGATCTTATGTGGGTGCATCATCGGGCGATCGTCCTGTAGTCTGATTTCCCCAGTTTTAAAGTCAGTGTGTGGGTGAATTATACATGGTAAACGCTTATGGAAGCTCTATTTCGGGCACGTTTCACTTTTTTTTACTGTGACTTAAGCATCTAATTAAACATTTCGAAAACATCAAAGAAAATGGAGAAGTATTTTGTAGGATTACTATCAGGCTGTCGCAAATAGAGGCCAAAATAGCTGTTACAGTGAAGTAACCACCTTCAGTATTCTTAAGCATGTCAATGTATTCGGTTGACTTCGTTACAAAGGTGTACTTTATTGAAAGGGTTGGTAAAATCAAGGCAACAATTAACAAATACTCACATTAAAACGAGTCGAAAGGATAAAATCAAAGTATAAAAACTGTATGTATAAGAAATCCGTCCTTGGTTGTCCAACTGGTAAATGTTATAGGGAGGTTATGAAGAAAATTCGGCGCCTTTTTCGGATGGGTTATACGTCGACTACAAAAAAAGTGCACGATAGTGATATGAATTTGTGTAAAAATACTGACCAAAACAAATACCTTATTGTAACAGCTTGCCAACTACTCATTACAGAAACAAATTCGCGCCTAATAGAAACAGTATCAAGATCCACATATCTCAGACAACAAGCTCAAATATTCAGAATGTTTGAAAAAGTGGCTCCTGTCTGTTGATGGCCTGTCAACTCACAAAGTCCTGAGTTTAGAACGTTGCGCATCCGGATTAGCTCAATTCTAATTCCCTATTCCCTATCACTCTCTACCTAACGGAGCATGACAGTTCAAAGCATGACATCCACAAGAAATCTAATATAAGGTTCCCAAACTTTGATGGATTAAATAATTACAGATAGAGTTTAGTTCCAGTGCTTGAGTCAAAGATTCATGAAATAATTCCGGGAATACCAAGCCTGGGGTTAGAAAGCGAACTCCTGTACTCACAGCAATGTTTATGCTATCGCCAAAACGGTGATACTCAACATACTTAATCACCCTGTCTGTTAAATTTGTCTACCTATTACTGACTACCCGGAGGTTTCTCAAAAGATAAATTCCTCAACGGTATGTTATCTTTACGTCTTAAATCCACTGGTGAACCACACGTTTGTGCACTTATGGTGTGACAGTCAGCTAAGTGAATATGTTTAAAGAGAGAGGGCAGTTGGTAACTGGGACCACCCTCGTTTCTACGAAAACTAAGGCATTAAAGTTCTCGTGACACATTGCCTCCCCCAGATCATTGTGCCAGTAGTAATTCTTTGCGCAATAGTTTAGGATTCACCAACTCTCTTCAGGGTATTCCGTCATCTAAGAGCGACTTCTTTCATCGTTAAGATCTGGAATCAGGCTAGCTAGTACTATATGATGCAGCTGATAGAGACAGGCATGTGCGTTTCTGTGCCCGAACGTTGTGTACAGCATCAGCAGCTATCCCGTTCACTTGTCTGATAAAACTAGTAGTGTGGTAGATGGTGGATTTGATAAGCATTGTGTTGGAACACCGATTCATACACAGAGAAAGCAACTGAAGAAATCACACCGGTTTTCTCACTACTCGCTTTATATATGAATCGGCTCGTGATAAAAACCGAGGTGGCCCAAGTGGTTAGAGCGCAAATTTACTGACCGGAAGGTCCGTGGTTCGAATCCGACCTCCGCCACTCGACTTTCCCTGTCTAGGCTTGGGCA